GTGCGGGGGGGCAGCGGGCCCAGGGCAGCCTCAGTGTGGCCACCAACTCACTGCTCCACCAGCCTGGAAACCTCTAACCTGGGGCTAAGATGTGGTCCCTGGGTGCGATGAGGGCCTGTGGGATGGCTTGTGGCTCCTTTGTCACAAACACACTGCTAACCCTAAGCTAATCTCCCCATTCTCGGCTTGCGTTGACTGGTTCTAGTACTTAACCTTGCTCAGCCATGCGGAGCCCACCCTAAGCCTTTCCAGGCTGTTTGTTCCTGTTTCTTCTTGGGTGCTGGCTTCTACCCCTGGTGCTGCAAACACCCCCAGCACTCGGGCAGCATGATGGCAGCAGAGATGCAGAAATGGCCAGGATGTGGGGAGGATGCAGAGGAGCAGGTGGGAGAGCATCCCCCAGCACAGCCTTGTTGCACAACTGCCTTTCAGTCCTGGCATCCCTGGGGGAGCCAGGGCAGCCGGTAGCTTGGCACAGCGCTGGTCCTCACCTCCCTGCGGGCATTTGGGAGCTCTGACACCTTCCAATGCTCTGTGCTTTCCTTCACGCTTTCCCCGCAGGCTGGAGATCCCTGGGATTAACTTGCTGGGTTTTTTTCCAGTAAATAAATGCAGCAGCTCATAGACACAGTGTCCTTCCCTGACCTCTACCGTTAACAATGAAAAGGCAGGAAGAAGGAAGCGGCAAAGCTCAGCCCTCCCTGTGCGGACTAGCTCCTCTCCTCCCACTGGAGTTTCTGGCACTGGGACATGGGGAACAACAAGTTTGGCCTGTTTTAGCATGGGAAAGGATGAAGTTTTAGCCTGGGGAAAGGGAAGGGGGGAAAACCAGTCCACGTGGATCCCATGAACGATGCTTCCCTGCCCTTGTTCCTTCTCTTGAGCCTGAAGCTTTCTGTCTGGGAAGCAGCCTTGGAGCCAACATCCCCGGATGCTTTGCAGAGGGGCTTCTCAGCGGCCCTGTGGTGCCAGGGAACTGGGCTGGGCCTGGGGGCTGCTGCAGCTCCGAAAGGCAGCGCAGGCTCTGTAGTGCTGTGGGAAGCAGCTGGACAGAAGCATCAACTGGGATGCACCAGGCACCAGTGCTCTTGCGCTACCACATAGCAGGGTCTATTCTTCCATCTGCCACCCCATACACAGTGCCTGGGCTGGGTGCAGCAAGAGAGGGCTGTGGGGGACATCAGTGCACCCCTTAACTCAGCTGCTGCTGTTGGTGGTCGGCTGGGGGCCAGGGAGGCACCAGCCCCCTGTCTGTGGCCAGAGCCACCCTGTGCTTGGCAATGGATGCTCTCCAGGTGCAGTGCCAAGTGCCACAGCAATGCAGCAGCCTTGATACACAGTGCCTGGGCTGGGTGCAGCAAGAGAGGGCTGTGGGGGACATCAGTGCACCCCTTAACTCAGCTGCTGCTGTTGGTGGTCGGCTGGGGGCCAGGGAGGCACCAGCCCCCTGTCTGTGGCCAGAGCCACCCTGTGCTTGGCAATGGATGCTCTCCAGGTGCAGTGCCAAGTGCCACAGCAATGCAGCAGCCTTGAGCTCCTCTTCCAATAAGTAGGGGCAAGGACTTGCCTCACTCAGGGGCTTGCTGAGGGATGCCAAAGCCCAAGCAGAGTTTGGGGGACTCTCACCTGAAACCAGCCCTCAGCATCCTTAGATGATGGGCAGGACTGAGACCACAGACTTGGCTCCACGCTAGGACGGCTGGTACAGCCCCTGCTGCAGAGCCACCGGATTCCCCTCC